GCTTGGGTGTCTTTTATCCTCTCTCCAGGTTCATAGGGGTTCCGGAGGCAAGCTATTACGGAAGTGGATGCCACTCCTCTTTCCAAGCTTGTGTTAATGAGGGAGCTCCACCAGTTCATTATATTGTGTCCCACATTACAGGGCTTCTTCAGGCTGGAGAAACAATGCTTATACTCTTTCAACATAGTTACGCTTACGGAGGCCGTATTCAGGTTCCAACCAATTTGTCACAGTGTTTTCTCCTTTTCTATAGCTAAAGAAGGTATTCATCTGCTACCCCAGCAGCAAGTGGTACTTCTTATCTTCTCCTGGGATTCTTTTCCATTTCTCTAAACAGTAACATTCACATAGGCCACGAGAGCATAGTGGGGGTTTGTATAGAGCTATTTATATCTACTGTTTTATAAATGCAAACCTAGGAGATTTTACCTAGAGTTAAGCAAGGTGCAAATCTTTAATTTAGCTATCTTCTCTATTATAAATTTAAATGAATCCTGAACTTTATCAATGCCAAATTTCACTATGTCAATTCAGTAGGGAGGGGCATTACTTGAAATCTTCCTTTTCTAACCTGAATAAGCCTGAGTTCTAGAATGTGAATGACTCTGAGAAGAAGACAATGAAGGGACACAGACATAGAAGTGCTAGGAAATACACAGCATAGAGTGAGTTTTAAGTTTGCAAATGATACTTTCAACAGGAATTTTATAAGTTGGAAGCTATCCAAATAGGGTGTTCTAATGGTTTAGCATTAAGAAGCTGCACCCAGCTACAGAAGGTATCATCCTGCTGCCTCACAGGAGAAGGATGCACACTCTCATTCCACGTGATTTAGGGCCTCTGAAAACCTGCTCGAGGGTCAGCTATGAGTTGTTTCCAACTTGACAGCACACACAACATCCAAATAGGAAATAGTGAACACTCTGAGAAGGCTGGAGGTAGATATTATCTGACAAAGAGTTCAAGAAAACAAAGATGCTTAAGCTTAAAAAGCAACGCTTTGAGAAGAAATACAATAGTATTTTCAAAGAATAAGTTTTCATATGTAGAACCATGAATATATCCTCTCCTGAAGCTTTGGAAGGAAAAATGATACCAGAAGGTTTATTCTGTTTCCAATTTAAAAAAGCACACGAATAATCTGATTTGTAAGTAGATTAAATGGGGTAAGTACAAATCAACAAGCTTTCGTCTCATCAATATTTAATTCTTGGCATTGTTATTATGTACTGTGGAGTCAGATCTGACCTCTAGCAGATGCTCCAGTGAGTTCTCAAAGACAGCAAATTGCACAGGAGGAGATTGCCTATCTTTCTCCTGTGAAGCAACTGGTGGATTCAGATCACCTGCCTTCAAGTTGGTAGTGCAGCTCCTTACCACTAGGACATTTCAGTCAATTTGAAGTTGAGTTAATAACCATAATCATCCTGTAAGATTTTTAGAATTTGCATGACATATGTGAAATTATCACTACATATAATGAACATGAAGTGTTTCAGAATAAAGATATGGTTAAGAGGAGTTCCACAGAGTAAGCAATATTTAAACTGAATCTCAAACACAAGTAGAATACAGAAAGAAAAGGAACAGGAGTAACTACATTCCAAAGATGGAAAATGATGCAAAAACAGAATTATTTAAGGAACCCTGTTTAGACAAACTTGGCTGACTGAAATGTTTTCTTTTCAGAGGACTGGTTAAAAAAACATCCAAGTCATTGTTGCAGAGTTAGAACCAACTCATGACTTTAAACCTCTAAAATGTTCAAAACTCCCTGCCAGATTTTCAGAGGTGGTAAATCACACAGGAGGGGATTGTCCCTCTTTCTCATACAGAGTACTTAGTTGATTTGAGCGATCTGCTTTGGAGTTGGTAGTACAACTTCTTACTCATCAGGCCATCAATGTTCCCTGGAGTGGTGGCTAGTAAAGTTATATGATTGGGTGAGGAGTCAAATATTACTTTCAGTAGAGTACCTCGCCTAAGTTTTATCTCTACTCTAAAAGCAGTGAAGAAGCAAATGAATAAATGAAGAGGTGACTTAAGAAGAGATTCATATGATGACATTTGGCATTTAGATCTTGAAATAACTTGCAGACTTTCTAAAGGATCCCTTCTTAGAGTACTATTTTTTTTTAAGTGATGTTGTTGGCTGGCATTAGATGATTCTTACTGTAATTGACACCCTCTGACAAAGTAGAGCTGCATATATACCTTTGAGGGCAGTGATTTTTACAGAAATAGAACAGCAGGAATTTCTCCACCTGGTTGAACTTGAACTTCTAGCCTCTCACTTAGTAACTGAAGGTATTACCATTTGTACCACCTAAAGACTTACTTTTTGCCAAGAAAACAAACAGATTCATCCTGGAGAGGGTTAAACCAACCTACTCCTTGGAGGCAAGGATTCTGGGGCTTCATGTGACATACTTTGGACATGTTGTAAGGAGAGACAGGTCTTTAGAGAGGGACATCATGCTTGGTAGGGAGGGTGGAGGGATAGCGCAGGAGGGGAAGACCCTCTATGAGGTGGATTGATTCAGTGACTGGGGTAATTGGGATGGGTGTGTCAGAGGCAATGTGATTGGCACAGGATAGCGCAGGGTTTAGGGCTGTTGTACATACGGTCGCTAGGAGTCACAAACGACTCGACGGCACATAACAACAACAACATCAACAACAAAAAAGAACTACTGGTGGTGGTGGTGGTGGTGGCTGCTGGCTAGTTGAATAGTGACTTAGTTATTATTGGTTTGTGCCATCAAGTCAGGCCTAACACATAGCTGACTCTCCAGTGGGTTTTTAAAGGCAGCAGATTACATGAAAGGAGATTGCTTATCTTTCTCCTGCAGAGATGCTGGTAATTTGAACCATGGGCCTTTGGGATTGCTGCACAGCTTCTTACCATGTGGCCACCAGACTTCCCTAAATAATAATTTATTAGAAATTCTATAGCCATTAGGTAGTTGGAACCACTATCTTTCAGTAATAAGCTTGCTTAACTATTGTATCATCAGAGCTCTTTTCAATTCCCTAGTGGATTCTAATTGTTTTGAGATTTTATAAATCATAAATGCTAAAAAGCATAGAATCTGGCACATAGCAGGCACTCAATAAAAAGGAATGAATGAATGACTAAATACTAAATACTAGTAAATATTAAATGAGCTACTAATTGCAAAACCTAGAACAAACTGGCAATACATTTTACCTATAATTCCTTGTATTAAAAGAGCTCTGGTGGCCTAGTGGTAAAGAGCTATGCTGCCATCCCAAAGAAAAGTGCTTCAAACCCACCAGCTGCTCTGAGGGCAAAAGATGGGCAATCTCCTCTCATGAGATTAAACTACTTCTGAAAACCTACTGAAGGGTCAGCTAATTGTCAATTTCTACTTGAGAGTACAAAATACCTAATTCTTTGCATGCAGGAGAAGCAGAAGAGACTCAAAAACTCCCTATGGAGATTACATTTCTAGGTAGAAAATATTCAGGTAAGTATGAATTTTACCCAATAAAGTTTTAATCTTACTCTCATAAATGTCTTTTTCTTGTTTGTTGTTGTTGTGCACCTAAAGGTCAGAACTGACCCATAGCTGACCTTCTGGCAGGTTTTCAGAGGCAGTTAATCACAGGTGAGGAGATTACCCATCCTTCTCCTGCAGAGTACCTGGAGGCCTCAAGTCCCATTCCTTCAGGATTGCAGCACAGTGTTTTGCCACTAGGCCACAGAATATTTAAAATATTATCTCAGAAGTCATACCAAAGTAGAAAACTATTTCCAACATTCTTTTATTGGTTGTATTCTAGGGTGACAAAATAATCAACCAAATCTGTAAAACAGACTTTTTTACAGCCATTTAAAAAAAAAAAAAGATGATGTCTACTTCCCAAATAACATGCAAACTTTAATTACCTCTTTTTGCAATTTATCTACAGCTCTCTGGACTTTTAATGCATTATCATTTGTTCCATTCATCAGCTTCACCGCTTCATGAAGTGTTACATTCATGATACTTTCAAACTGATAATTGAAAAAAAAATAAGTTTTTTTAAAACAACCATGATGCAACAAGACAGTATTTAAAGTTTTTAGAATTGTCCAAAATGATAAAATCATATGGTACGCACCTTAGGTTTTGAAGCAACTCCAAGGCCACCTGCTGCCAGCTGCAAGATCAGGATAAGAAACAATCCTGCAAAAAACTAAGAACATTTTTAAAAATTAAAGGAAAGAGAATGTGTATTATCTTCAGCACATTCAGCAACATCCTGGGATATTTCAATCTCATTCTCTAAACTTCTCTCAACCTCTAACCAATGCATATTGAACTGCTACCCACAAGGTCAATGGTTTGAATTCACCAAGCACCCTAAGGGAGAAAAATGGACAGTCTCCTTTCATAAAATAGTTATTTTTTGAAACTAGACTGAGGAATGCCATGACTTGGAATCAATTGGAGGACAATGTGGTTTTCTTTCTCCCTCTCCAGCTACTACCACATACATGACAGTTGGAGTATAACCTATACTCTTCGTTTTTCACACTCTTTGTCTTAAGCTGTGGCTGCCATAGGGATACCACTACTCAGAACTCTCGTAGTCCAGAGGATACAAAAGTGCGTGACCAGCCAACAGGCAGTTTGAGCAGCTGCTCAAAGGGAAACAGGTGCACCATCTCCTCCTGCGTGATTTACAGCCTTCTAAAACCTGCTGGAGAGTTAGCTATGAGTCGCTTTAAACTCTATGACAATCACACACACGCACAAACATTTGCTTCAGATTTGATCAAGGGAAGTCATTAAAATGAAATTTTTTATATTGCCTTCTTGGCATTGGTGTATACTGAACAGAGGAAAGATTGAAAACTTAGAAGCAATTACTTGGATATTCTTTCTCTCTCCCTTTTTTCATCAAATGCAAACTCAAACTCACAACTAGTTCCCAATTGGTCTTTTGATCACCATCAGAATCATAGGTCTTTCTGTCTTGTTAAAAATGTAGGTTCCTGGAACTAACCTCAGTGCCTAAGTCATTTTGGAAGATACCAACCTCCTCAAGTAATTAAACTTCCCAAACTCAAGCTGAGGTTTAAAAAAAATATTACAGATGTTATGATTTAAAAAACAAAATCCTCCCACTGCCCTTGAGTTAGTTTTGTTTCAGTCACCCTTCATTGGGTTTCTGAGGCTGACAGGTGCTACTAGAAACCAACAAAACAATTTCTACTTTCCCTCAAAATAACTGCTTTGGGGTGGGGGTCGGGGGTTGGGTGGTTTTTTGTTTTGGTTTTGTTTTGTTGTGGTTTTTTGTTTTTTTTAATAGACTGATACATCCTTTACTAGTGTAACTATTTTAGATTAGCTCTAACAAACTCTTTTCGAAGAGTTGAATCTACTAAATACATTAGTTGTTTTCTCTTTGGTTTAGTGGTAAAAAGTTGCACTGCCAACACCAATAGACACTGT